AAAGGCATCTAAAAAATCAAGACAGACGTCAAGACCTATTCACCAACAGTAAATCAATAAACTACCTGTGAATGTAGAAGATCGAATTAAAGCCAACGCCAAGAACTTAGTGTGATTGGCAATAAAGAGTACTTGTTTAGTTCCCTCTCCTCATGTAAAGCTGCAAAGGTTGATTCGTTCCGGCGCTCAAAACTCAAGATCTGCAAGCTCAAAAACTTGAAATAGACGGGAAAGCCAGAAAACTTTTACCACCCAATAAAACCAACGTAGTAATTAAAAAAAAAAAAAACAACTTTTAGAGGCCACATACTTTTACTCTTTTATGAGTTTTTAACCGCTCGTAAAAGGGGGAATTTTCGTGGACTATAAATCTCGTAGATTATTATTATTAGCGTCATTGGGATGTTGCCCCACCTTGAAAAAGTCCTGCATGCCTTTCAATTGTAATCTTGCTTAGATTCGTCCCTTGTCTTTACACACCTGCAGTGGAACATACGATTGGGCCAGGTATGCAGCGAAGTTAAACACCGCTCACTGATAAAAAGAACACTAACTGAAGCAATTACCTTTTATAACTTTACCTACTATACCACTGCGACCCAAAATAGGTGATTTACGTTATTTTCTTGCGAAGGCACGAATTGCACACGAGTTTTCAAATAGAAATACACAGAAGCACCTTAAAAGTAGACTGTTCGCTGTCTGCTTCAGTTGGAAACTATAAGTTCCCTAGACATTGGCATCAGCCGAACCTCCTATAGCGCACATTATATAAACTCTGGCCGAAACGCTCCGAGTCGCGTAATCTCAATAAAGCAATAAGGAAACAACCTTCTTTTGATGTAGGAGGAGCGCACACCTCATTGTAATACAGATAAAAATTTTGCAGCTAGATAAACAGCAAAATCCTCAAATTAAACAAACTACAGGAGAACGCTTAATCTTCGAGTGGAACGCGTTAGCTGCACATACAAACCCCACTTGTTTTCAAGCCGTGCAATCGTGTCTGCATGGCCTAAAATAAGGAGGAAAGGAAGTGTCTGCGTGGCTTTAGAGGTAGCGTGCCTGGCTCGGAACCGACGGGTCGTGGGTTCGAAACCTGAGTCCCTCTAAAATGCTTCAATGCCCTCCCTTTAGGGGTAAGGAATTATCTTATAAAGTGATATCGTTTGAGACATGCGGCGACCTTTAATTCGCATTACATATTATTTTTAATCAGTTTACCTATACGCGTGACGTCGCATTTTGCGTAAGCGTTGCGGGTTGTTTGAAATTTCCGCGCGAAGTCATGTGGCTGTGACATCAAGACCCTATCGACCAATCAGGATTTTCGCGTCACGCTGGTTTTCCTCGCACGCCACTGAGGCCGGCGCGACACGGGCTCCTTAAAGCTCCTGCTTTAAAATCTCAAAACAAATGTCCTCTGGAACGGTTACAGTGCCAAATTTAGAAAAGAAGGGATGAATTAATGTTTATTTAGAAAATTGGGCCCGGAAAAATAGTGAAAATTGGGTCCTAAGCCACCTGACGAGGCTCCCTTTACATCCGCGTTACAGCCCTACTACAATCATAGCACACAATATACTTTTAGTAAATATTGCACTTGAATTAATCTATTATTTCCATGCACTCGACCGATAGAATACAAAATATTGTTGCAGTGTTGGTGAGCAGGCTTCGCCGCGTGTAATCGACATTGTTGGAACGACACGTTTTCTTTCCACTGTGAATCGCAATGCGTGTTTCCTAGAGCAAACTATCTCTTAAATGAAAAACACACACACACACACACACACACACACACAAAACATCATGCTAATTTATGACGTTCCAAGGTCGAGATGTAAGATATCAATATCAGACTAAAGGAACAAATGCAAAGATAACCCTTGGCATGTACCTTCTATTATTTTTTTTATTTTTGTGTATGCTCCACACGCTTCGGCGTTATTCTCCATTTTTTTTTTCTCTTTTGCTCAGCATCTCGTCTGAGGTACATTTTCAGTTTATTTGTTTGGTTAGTTATTCATTTCAATACCCTCATGGCTAATATGGTATTACGAAGGGGTGACAGGTGAATTTAAATTCGAGCTGAAAACATTAACACAATAAAAATACCAACAGAGCAAGCAATTTTTTTAGAAGATATGTAGTTCGGCGTATTAGCCAAGCCTATTTCTTAACGCCTCATTAAATAGTTCGATTGATGGTATGTTTACCAGAGTTTGTAGAAGAGGTGAGGTAACATTACCAAATCTGAGTGCTTTGATGATTATCTTATTTTTCAATCGAGTTATCAACCACACTCGAATCATGTGTGAAACTGAATGTACACCATACCCACTGTTACTCCAAGCAAAACGTGCAGAAAACCTAGGGCTGGCAGCCGACGTAATCATAATTAAAGAGGCCTCTTTACCAAGTTTCGCCTACCACCCTCCGTTAGGCTGGTGCATCACTACGTTATATTATTTAGGAGTTCTTCGCGTTTTCCTGCCTTTTGTAATAGAGCTATGGTGTGCAAATATCAATTTTTTTTTAATTCGCCTAATCTTGATGCAGCAGGGGCCCACTCGCCGTGGGTGTGTGGCCCCAGGGAGGTCTTCAAGGCATGCGTGAGCAGAAGATGTGCCGAACTCAAGTGCGGCATGGAAGGCATCCCACCCGTTTGCACCAAGGAGTGCGCCAGCGGCTGCTTCTGCGCTCCAGGCTTTTACCGTAGGGGGAACATCGAATGCGTTCGCAAGAGCGAATGCCTAATCGGGTCTCTCGAGCCCAGGCCTAAGGCATGAAAGAACGTCAGGGACCTACCGGACGATAGTGGAAAGACTGGGCTACTCCTAATTAAAAGCTAGATTTTATACAAAGCAATTTTCGCGTTTTCACGTTCTTATTCAAATGGTTGCGTGCCGAAGCTGAAGGATTGAGGTAAAGTATGATATGTTTCTCCAGAGCATCACGCGAAGTATGGTACGCCTCTGTGTTGAAGCTAGATCAAGAGAGATATATAGCTCCCATGAAACTCTCGAGGCTGTGTAGGAGCAGAAGCCAAAATGCATTTTGATACTACTACTATACTGCATGCTTTGCTGTATCAAAGTGCAGACAACATTAATTATGTGGTTTTTTTTTTTTTTTTTTTTTTTTTGCTGACAAGCCTTTTTGAAGCAACCTCCAAATCTACGATAAGAAAGTTGGAGTTGCAAGAGTAAAAAAAGTATGCGTAATGAACAAACAAAAAAAAATAATGGTGAACCAGCGGTTGCGCAGTGGTAGATGGGCAACACGTATGAACATCTTTTACGGACGTTTAATTGTACCTAAATGAAGAAGTACGGCTATAATCACTGATAGCATGAACGCGCTTGGCCGGGCTGCTTTCGAGCATCTTACTGCAGACCCTTTTCAAAACTCCATCGAGAAACATAGACGGTCGCCATTGCTCGGTCACGAAGGGTGTGAATGGATCCGAGTGCATGCCGAAAGCTGACGCAGGCCTCGTATACTATACACGCTCAGAGCCTGTCGTGCCCAAACAATGGCGGACTCTGACAAGTGGCGCATCGGCTACTAGATGGCGCGCACTTTTGGAAATGTTCTACTGCTCCGCAACCATCGAGACTGCAGCATTAGTCAATACGAATGTCGAAGAACGAATCACGAAGCATAAAGCGCGAACATAATAGACCACACCATAAGTTTCTTAAAGTGTCGTTGGCTTATGGACCAACTCAACTCTCTGACATCACGCCACTGTCGTGGCGCCGCTGTCTGCACTGCGCATGAGCAGATGCTTCGCCTCAAGCGAATCTGTCTTTTGCACACGCGCAGTACCCATACCCGGTCTGGAAAAATGCGGGTTTGTCTGCAAACTCTGTGTTCGCCGACAAAATCGTGGGTTCATCCGCAGGGATGCGTCCACGTGCAACAAGAAACAAGAAGCGCGGCATCCTCTTAGTGGCGCATGCAAGGGCATTTCCGAGAAATAGGACTACGTTAACCAAGCCTTTCAGTTTGTCTGTGTTGCCGATGGCACCTCCTACGTAGAAAGCGAGAGACGTGTTTTTTTTTTTTTTGGCTATGCCAAGTTAATGTTGTCATTTATCCTATGCTATGTTTCTTAGCGGTTGGAGTATTTTTCAACCTAGATTATTCGAGCATGTTCGACCGTCCTTCGTTGCAAGCATGACTCGGAGTCTCCAGGGTCACCCGAACCTCCTCTGACACCCTAGCTTTTCCTGCAAAGAGTCATTTACCTGATCAATTTAGATTAGAACAAATTCATTGGACTTGCTCTACAAACCAGCACTGCTTTAATTGCTTCTTCTATATACCGGATAATATAATTTTTTATTCGAAACACATTTTTAAAAAAAGGCGTCTTTACTGCTATGACTTCACTATACGTCTCTATAGCTCGGCGGACATTCAAGGGGCCAATAACCGTCACAATCTGGTGAGTAATTAGGTAAAATGTGTTAATTAACTCTTTAATTAGTAAAATAGACATATGGTTCCACTTAGAAACTAGCCGAGCGTCATCCAAAACGACTAAAGCGATAATGCTTAGAAATATTTTGATCGCGCACGAAGCGTATATGTGCTAAACGTTTCACTCGTGCTGCAGGCACAAGGCTGGGGCTATGATAAGAGACGGAAAAATTGTGCGGGCGCCATATGGTGGCGGTAGCCGCGCTCCTGCTGCATGAGTGTAAACTTTAGCCCACCGCTGTGCTCCTTACGCAGTCAGAGGCTTTCTGAAAATTACTGAATTAGTGGTTTTAAATGACGCTCAGTAAATTTCTAATTATATTGATAAGTTCATTTTTATAATTAACAGTTTAATTAACAAATGTTTGTTAATTACTCTTCAGACTTGACGGTTGTTCGCTCCTCGAATGTCCGCCGAGCTTAAGAAGTATGTAGAGTTTTAGAAGAAGCTAACTAAAATACAAAATAAGCGTTCATAGTTGCTACGATACTCACTGCTTTCCGTATACGCTGGAATTGCAGGAAACACAGTTGGAATGCTACGCGGTCAAAGCCTTCTCGTTTGACCGCTTGTATCGAAGCAGCCATCTTCGAAGTAAACTGAGCCGAGAGCGTCAGTATTCTCAGGCGAGCAACCATCCCCCCCCCTCGCCCCCTCCGAACAGCTCGCTGCCACGCGGCACGTCGATACTTGTCTTTGGGAAACCTGCGTCGCGCAAACAAGTTTGATGCTCTATTTTACCGTTCAAATGGACATTTTGCCATGAGCACGCTCACATGCAGCAGTAAGCGATCGCGAGCGAGTGAGCGAGATTCGTTGCAACGTGCTTTCTGCATACTTACACATGAAAAGCAATTTCTGCGTTTTTTACGCGATTTACGCAACCGAAAGCGACGCAAGGACCCACCATCACCTTCGGGATCTGCTGCAATTGTTTCACAAAGACTTGCGTTCAATGACACGCCGCACTTAATAGCAATTCAAGGCAAAGATCACGTCAGTCGTAGTACGCCAGAGACCGCGTCGATCCGTTTTCTACCTTGAGTCAGATGGCGACGGTCGGTGTTCTCTGCGTCAGCGACGGGCGCCACCTCCACCCCAGAAGTCTTAATAGAACCTCGTTGGACCCGTGACTCTACGAACAACAGTTCTGAAAGTATGCGAGCATCTAAATTGATACTCCTCACTTTACTGAATTTACACGCGTGTGAGACTAAACAATACAACCTTTAGCAGAGACAAAAAACAAAACAAAACAACACAGCAAGCATCCAATAGGGAGGGTGCAGATCAGCCGGAAACAGGCTTTCGTCGTCGAGGTGCACACTTCTCCACATGCGCCCGAAGCAGACGATGACATGTGGACGCCTACAATTTCAGCCGCACGGTAAGGCGACACGGTTCGATCTCGAGACGGTGTACCCTGGTCCAGCTTCCCGATGTCTCGCTCAGCCGGAAGCCACTGGGAGCACGTTCTGCTTAAATTGCCCCAGATAGTTTCCCGGGGGGTTGTAGTTGCAGACAACGAAGTATGCGCTTCGGGAAGCCGCTTTGCTTATGGCGCATCCCACGTTTGTGGTGGATTTCCAGACGACCTGGGTGAAGTGTCCCGTTTTATACGAGAAGCCTGGATTGGCGTAGTCGTAGTCCTTGATCTCGTTGTACCAGAAATCAACGGGAGTTTGGGCTGCGCGAAAAAAAAAAAAGAAAAACGGAGAAGAAAATTGGCTGTCTGGCATTTTCAAAAGGCGTTCTACACGCCTAGCATCTCTAGGGCCTCCAATCGAATTCCTCTTTGTTATAGGTACAGTGAGGAGGCAAATCAGGGCCACGTTTGTAGGGTTCTGCGATTACAATAAGCCGTCACAGTGTAACCTAATACTGTGACGTCACGTGACGTCAAGGCGCCAGGTGACGTCAATGCATCACATGATGACATGTCATGTAACACTGCGACGACCCAAAATGCCCGAGGCTGACGATATAAATGCTACGTATTTAAAGGCAACAACAAACAAAAGAGTCGGAAGGAAGTTTCAACGGCCTTGAACGCGACAAACGCTGCGAGCTGTGGCCGCATCAGAGACGTCTTGCATTAAACGTGGCCTTAGAGTCGTCTTATCGCCCCTCGGCCAATCAGATACCGCATCGGCCGACAAAAAGGCCGAAAAACCGACCGCGATGCGAGAAGCGTGGACATGATGAGCCTTTGCTAGGTTGTTATTTCGAGTGTGCGAATACCGCTTCAAATCGAGTGGCACTGCGTCATTCTCAATTTTCGCAGTGGAAGGTAAATTGACGCTAGCCGGTTTGTTTAACGGTGTAAAAGCTAGGGATGACAGTGCGCTATACGATTTCAACCGGTATTCGCCCACATCTCTAGTTGTTACGCTGCCTATCAAGCCCGCGCACTCTAAAAAAAAGGGGGTGTAGGCGTTACACCCCTTGTCACATATACGACACCCCAAAACTTCAGTTGGACGTACAGCGCGCTGACGTCGAATAGACAGCCCCAACTTTTGCGGGAGGGTTGATGACGGTGCGATATAACATATTAAACAGCTAAAGTACGTATCAAAGTCTACAGGAAAAAAAACGCACAGGTTTTGCAGTTGAGCCTAAAAAACCACGATAACTTTTTTTGCAGTCCGTCACACTTGAATTAATTATTTTAATGACTTGTACAACTCGGCTATCAAGCCGCTTGTGAAATTTGGTAGCGTCGGTATTACTTCAGTGTGCTGTACATCCAACTGAAGTTTCGGGGTGTCGTATATGTGACAAGGGGCGTAACGTCTACACCCCACTTTTTTTAGAGTGGCGGGTGCAGGTGAATGACGGCAGAATGTCATGACGGTTACTTCAGGTTGCGACCACCCTTTAGTTCCTTGATACTTTTTTTTTACAGGTAACGACATCCAATGCAAATCACAAAGCACATTTTACAGGAACAACATCGCGAAACTCAGTCAAACCTCTGCTGTGTGCGCCGTCATTCGCTTCCTAAAACCTGAACCGTCATGCAGTCGGCACTTTAAAAAATGTCGCTACTGGTAGGAAGCTCTTATCTAGGCACTTTATGCTGGCCGAGTGTGTACTGTTAAGTTACGAACATAAAGACAGTCATGTGGACGACAACAAAAGCCATAACGTCTAATATTAAAATTAAGACTTTGTTTTACATTCATACTTGTTTTTTTTTTTTGTTTTCAACATATTGGAAAGCGCGAAATAGACCATAAGAATGAACAAGAAACATGTCTAGAACAAAATTTTTACGGTGCGGAACAACCGGTTGGGAAGCCTTTCAAAAAGACCTCTTCAAAAATCGCCTAGTGCGTGCAGCCATCTTTGTCGTGCTGGGCTGCGAAACGCGTTCTGAGCATGCACTGTAACTCTGTTGTGCGGTCTATCAAACGCTAAGCTAGCGTCCTCAGCTCAGCGACTCGACACTTTCCGCTCAGGAGTTACCTGACCGGTGGATGATCACTAAGTTCAACTGAGCTTGCCTACCTCAGTTATATTCTATTTCACCTTATGATGTACCGCAGGAAAGGCTACAAGCGCGAGCTCTTGGTCTGGGGAAGATCTTGGCGGCATAAGCTCTCATGCATTTAGCGCAGCTGCCAACGCTATCAGCTTGCGATTCTAGCCTTTACTGGCGTACAACCATAGACTCCTCTATACCCACAAAGCCTGGCAGATCGCAACAATAAGCGGCCACCGAAATTGAAACGGTAGAGCGGCTGAAAACGAATTAGAGGAGAGCCACGTGACGGGCGCCCCGCTGCGGCGAAACGCTGAAACACATTTCTCCCAAGCGATGGAATGTCCGCTCGTGCTCCTCGCATTCCTCGCGCTACCGCTTCATTTCTCGTCGGGTTTGACAACCATGTTTCGGGTCCTCGCCGCTGCAAAAGCTGTACGCTGAATACCAGGCTCCCCGAGAAATGTTCTCTGGTACTATAGATCCTCGCGCTCCCAATCTGCCAACGGGCATTCTATGGCTTCGTCGTCGAACTGCCAGGATTTGTGAGTATAGAGGAGGGTACAACTTAGGGTGAAACGGAGTATAACTGATGGGGGTTCGCCCCAATAGATCTAAAGATGGCGGCGTCTGCCACATCGCCGCCCATGGCCAGCACCGGCGAAGCACTTACTCTTGCGAATGATTGGGGGACGTATCTAGAAAGTATCGTGGTGGTAAATATTGTTGGAAGAGGTTTGACTCCAGGCCAGAGCTGCCACTAGAACGTTCATGGCACGTCGCGAAAGCCAAAGCTCAGTGAGGGTGGCCATTATGATGTTGTGGCGAATAAATATTTCGTTGTGTATGTTCTGCTTTAATTTGTGTAAAGCGTTCTGATAGTCGTTTCTTTACTCTGAAAATGAAAAAAAGAAGTTTCTTTTATGTTGTTTATAGCGTTTATAAAAAATTAAAAGTGTGCATATATTCATTTGCATTGATATCTTAAAAAAAAAAAGAAAGGTAATGTGAATGTGACATCAGTTTTAGTTTCGTTTCGGCTTTCAATTAAGTTCCGAGACGCGCATCACAACTGGGGTTGTTAGGCCTATGTACCGAGTAACACCAGACAACTTAGTTGAGCTCAATGACAGTTCTGACACATCAACGATCGTTGGCTTAGTAACAGGTAAGAACACTATAATATAATTGGGGTATTACAGCGCTCTGTGTTGATTAGTCTCTTTGTCCTCGTCTCAAGCGCCACCATGTGCACCCGGCGCCGCGCATGCGCAATGAGTGTGGGCAAGAGGATCGCCGTCGCCCATAAACAAACCATTGGAATGCGTGTTGTCGGCGGCGTGTGAGTCCCTGTGCTCTCTGTCACGTTGGAATTGGTGATCTTACGTCTCCCTGACAATGTCCGATTACATTAGCGGCCTCGGCGAAATTAGCGAGGCTCGTTTCACCGCAAAAGTGTGCGTGATTAGTGTGACATGCGACGATTCATTGCGCGTAAACGCCGCAGAATGAACGCTAAAACCTGATTCGCATGATAAGATTCTGCTCGATATTTTCAGTCATGACGTCGCTCGGGCTGCAAAAGCATGAATCGTAGCTGACATGGTGGACGTTGATACTGAAGATCGCAAGCAGAATCAAACTAAGCGGATCAAGCATCACAACTTGGTGATGACCACAAGTAACAATTATCAAAATTTCTTTGTGTGTACTGTTTACACTGAGCCTACTTCCCCCAACCAACCCTCAAACTTAAAAGTCCGTTGAGGCCTTCACTTGCTTCTTATCGTAATCACCTGGTCAACGTTTAGTCTACGGCCGCAGTCGTTTGAACTTTGAATGAGCAGACGACAACAAGCAGAAATGTTTGAAAGAGTCGACGACAGTTCGAACGTTCAGGCGGCCGTTTGAACCTGAAGACGCACTGAACGTAGTCGCAGGTGGTCGGAACAACTTGGCGGTTTTCCCGCGTTCATTTGGGAACAACAGAAAAAAATCTGACGACCACAACTATCGTGAATTTAACCCAAAGTGCATCCCGCACAAGCGATCGTTGTGCGACGACGACTGGTTTTCCTCCTTTACGGCCCCTATCCACGT